TTTGAACTTTCTAGGTTCACGGGGACAAGAGCTATGATTTTCCGCTAAAAAATTTATTTCGCACAAACCCCTAGGCTGGGTCCGGTCCTGCCACCCACCATATGTGTTCCCATCCTGCCGGATGTGCTTCTACCAGATTTGAACGAACTAGGTGTACGGGGACATGAGTTATGAATTTCTGCGCAAGCAGACAGACAGACGGACAGACAGACGACGAATGCAGTCCTGTGTGAACTTGCACGTTCAGAACGATCCGACTTATCAGAAATGAACCAGAAAAAGCTTTTATAGTGGCACTGTCATTATCTAGGAAACTTCAAATTAGCGCTTCATAACATGATTAATCAAAGAACTTTTGCAACTTTTGGCACACCACATGACCTAATGTAGTGATTCTGAATCGATCAACCAAATTTAGAGCTGTCATTATATGAGTTTGGGAGAAATATCGCATTGTCGAATGAGTCGAACAATAATGCTCTCATAAGTTTTCTAGTTCATGCTCAAAAAAAAAACTTGCTTTCCCGACCAACACTAACCCGATCATCAACGATTTATCGCCTTCATCGTCATCGTACTCCCTAAAATAAAAGTTTCGATTTGATCTTTCATAATAATAATATCAAACCTGTTAAGCCTATCAAGACTCCTGAGAACTTTGAGAATTATATCTTGCACGAGTAGAAGTTATTCGACTGATTCACGGTTCTGGATTACGCTACAGGCACTACTGTAGGAAAAAACAGGACATGTTTCAAAAAAGTGAACTGATTTGAGTCATCTACGCGAGCACATAATATTGGCTGCTAAGTTTGTTCGCTTTGCGATCTTGGGGCTATTGGTCAGACTTACGGAAGTCTCTCCGGAAGCCTTATTTTCGAAGACCATCACCTGGCTACTATCTTATCGTCTCAGAAGCTCGCCAGTGTAACTCTCAATAATACAAAGATGCTTCCTTCCTCATCGTTTGACCGAGTCTCATATAGGTGTTCTGTTCGATATTTATCGTGTTGCTGTACAGAACACCTGTATCAGAATCGGTCAAACGATGAGGAAGGAAGCTCTTTGTATTATTGAGAGCTACACTGGCGAGCTTTTCCAAAAATGCTTCTTCTTCTGAGACGCGATTCACGTTTTGTGTTCAAACAAAAATAGCCGAGTGGTTGAGATTGTAGGCTCACATTTGCACTCAGAAGGAGTGCGAGTGTGATTGGTGTCGAGTGAAGAACTATGCCTTGCAAAGGGTTGCAGAAATGGTGTCGTCACCAACGTCAGGTCAAGGCTGATAGGTATTGATGAAAGAACCCCGTTACAACAATCAAGCCTAAAGCCTCACAAGGAATCGTGGACGTCGTCTGAAAGTGGCGCTCGGCTCCCCTCCACTACCGCAAGTTTTTTGATACGATTCGAGGCCTACAGAAGATCAAACGACCTCGGTCGAGGAAATTAGTTCGAATCGGACTCTAGACGTCGCATCGCTTACTGGGAGATCTCAGATGCTGTCGATCCTATAAGGAACAAGAAAATTGATTTTCTGCGCATTTACGGGACACGCCGGGAAGAAGCGAAGGTCAAAGAAGTTGAGGAAGGTGTTAAGCTCATCTACACTCTTCCACATCAAACAAAATGGTGTAGCCAGACCATCCTCGCAGAGTAACTCTGGAGACTTTGCCCCCGCTCTCAGCAGGATCAGAGTATCGCAGCTGTGAGAATATCCGTGTACGTTCTTCATATCAGCTGCCTCGGTCCCGAAAAAAGATGAGCTCTTTCTGAACCATGACGCTGCCATAAAAACAGTTTAGAATTTGGACAATATTACCATATCTGAAGGTCTCAATGGACACTCGGGCAGTGAACGGATGAATTAGAAGGAGCTCACGAGGGTCAAGGAATGATAGTCAAGAGCAAAGCAAGACAGAGGGTCTTCAACTCGGCGACAGCTCACCACCTGGAAGGATGCGATACATTCTTTGCAAAAAAGGAAACGCGGAAGGTCGCCTACAGCAGTAGAGCGAAACAAATGGAAATTGATAATGTGTAAGTAAGAAGATCATCCACTGAAACTGTAAGGGACAGAGGTGCTGCCTGCCTATGAACGGCACAGACCTCTCGTAGCAAACAGTCATAGAGCTCTCCAAGAAATCAGAGAAAAGAAAGAAGCGGAGGATCCAGTGAAGGAAGATCACCGAGCTGAAAAAGAGGACATCGAATGGGCGAAACTGGGAGCTGATCTCCCAGAGCCCAGGAAACTGATATAACAGGCGTGGTACAACGCTTGGAAAGCCTTCCTATGATGTGCAAGGAAAACGCGAAAAGATAAGTTGAGTCCCTAGGAGACAGAGAAGCGGTATTATATTGCAACGAAGTCCAGCCGCAAGTCGTGGGCAGAAAAAAAATAAGCGCTGGTTAAGGGGCCTTAGAAGGCCTAGCTGCCTACAGTACTTACGAAAGGTGTCAAGGCCGTTACGAAGGCAAAAAATACGGAAATGAAATTTTCTACGTTGGTCGAAAAGGAAAGAGGTCGTTCTCTGGATGATCAAAGAAGGACAACTGGCTACTCATGAAATCAAAGTGGGGGCTGTGAGGGTGCACCTATGGTGGGATCAGGCGTAGGTGAAACTAACATATCGACTGGCTCCCGAAAAAGCGTTCCACCTTGGGAGCAGCTCACAGGTAAAGCCAACGACAGGTTCCATCCCACTCTGCACAGAAAATGATGTCCGTCAAGCATTAGGGGAGGCCATTTTGTCACAGACCATTTTGGAAGTTCACAACCTATTTTCTCTCGGATAATTCGGATGGTCCGGATAGGGTATCAGTCGAGGAATAGAAGGCACCTGGATAGCACGAGTTATTAGGTTCACCCAATTTGGAAACACTGTGATCATTGAAGAAAGAAGCTTGGAAGCCTGGAGGAGCACTGTTTTTCTCTTCTTTTTCTTGATACTCATCTCAGTTGATTGCTTGCACAATGAAACTGTGTACAGGAGCGACTACTCGACCAAAGATTGAGCAAATTCGTCCCGATATCATAGGAGCAGTTCCACTCCATGCCAGAAAGGTCCACAAGGATCAACGAGCAGCCCTAATTGATGCCTCTTTATAGCCCTGCAAGTGGCTGGGAGCAATAAACCTACAATTGACCCGACTTTCTAACCTTCCTCGTTTTGTAGACTTTCGAACACCTTGAGCGACCAATCATCGTAAGAGCACTCAGAAAGCACAACGTGCTGAACACTCAACTCCTTTCGCCAACAAAGTGTACGATAGGCCCGAAACGGTCATATGGGCACCCCATCTGGCGTCAGGAAAGCAAAAGACGTTGCTTTTGGGGTACAACAAAAAACGAGTCGTAGGCCAGTTCCTCTTCTTACTTACGATTGATGTCATCACAAGAGAAGTCATGAATGGATCACTGTATGCCATACTCCACGCTGATGATATCGCTCGGACAGCGGAGCAGAGAAAACTTTCAAGACAACCTGCAGAAAAGTTGAGATGTTAATTGTGTTGCGACAGACGCTGCTCCATAGCGCAAACAGGGATGATATACCAAGCAGTGATGATGCCCTTGATGCATTATGACAACGGACGCTTTTCCAATAGTAAAAATCTTAGAAGACCGCTGAACTGAAGATGCACAATGAACTTGCGTTGACGTGACGTGACCGAATCAAAATTGAAGACTCAGTGTGTTTATGCCTCTAGAAGCCTCTAAAAGATGAGAGCCTAGTTGTACGGAAGGCAACAGATCACCCGGTAAGGGAGAAAAAATTCGAAGGAAAAGAAAAAAAGAGGAGGAAAGAGACAAAAAGTAAAAGAAAAAGGAGGTTATGTTTTGTGTTATGTTATGTTTATTACGCTGCTGAGGAAAACGTAGTATAGAAATGATAACAACCTTCTGGAACCAACTTAGACGGAGCAAATACAAGGAACACATGTAGATAAAACGTAATCGTATAAAGAGGATCACAAAAAATAAGGCAAATGACTCCTAGTTAGATATAAAACAAAGGCGTAGAAGAAGAAAGAGGAAATGGTCAACCGCAAGGAACTATGATAGCTCTTACTTAGATAAAATTACTTCCACAGAGCGTTTCAACTTAGTCAAGGAATCCGGAGCGATCATGTTTTTTGTTATCTTTTGGTAGAGGCTAGCCGCTCTGAATGTGAAACTTCTGGCTCCTATACTGGTTCTGGGCCTAGGAAGATTTATTTTAGTCTGACCTCCTCTGGTTCGGGAGTGAGCCACATTATAAAAATCAGAAGAACCAAATTTGTTATTTGGTACAATAGCTTGTAAACCATGCATACGCCAAATACTTTGCGACGTGATTCCAAAGTAGAGAGTTCAAAGTATTTGTTGCGAATAGATGCTTTAGGAATTCTAGAATAGAAAAGACTCCTACATCGGCAAAGGATTTTACGCGTAAAATTGTTTTGCACCTTTTCAAGTGCTTCAACATCCCTTCTCCTAGATGGGTTGAACACAGCAGACCACTCTCAACCAAGGGCCGAACATATATTTTATAAGCTTTGAGAAATATGGACTTATTGGTGGAAGAGAATCCCTTGAAGATGTGCAGGTGAACCTCGCTACACCACACCACAACAGTTTAGATTACGTTCAGTTTATATTCTACTTAGTTTAGAACAAAGGCGGGGAAACTGGAATAATAGAGGTTCCCTGGCGATTCTGTCATGATCTTACCCACAGTTCTTCTTCAGACTGAATTCTTTACAAGGCTTTTTATTTAGCTTTTTTGTTCCGCCCTATACATCACATTTTCGATACTGATCTGCTTTAATCCTAATCAGAAGCGAGAGCAGTTTTGAGGGAATCGGGGCTTCAAACAAATCAGAATAGTAAGTTTGCAAATATACAAGTTTGCCTCTACTCTTTTCAGAGTTATGAAACATTTTTTGATGAGTATCGTGGATCTACTATTCTACTACTGCTCACATTACTGCAGAATGGGTAAGTCTCAAACGAATCTCACATGTCCGGAGGTATCTGGACACTTCTTGAAGTTGCCTTTGTTGTTGCTGGTAGTGGCGGTGATGTTGTTGTCTCTTTAGTAGTGCTTTTAGTGGCGGTTATCGTCGTACGCTGTGTTATTGCTATCGGTATTTCAGTTGTTTGCGTAGGGGTCTTCGTAGTCGTGATCGCTTCTGGCATTGTAGTGGTGGTTCTGGTTGTTATCGGAGTTTGCGATAGGGTGGTGGTAGCCGCGGGCTTTGTGTCAACAGATGTGGCTGTTGCAGGCGTTGTGGAAGTGAATGTTGTCGCCACCGGCATTGTGGTTTCTGTGGCTGTGGTCGTCGCCTGCGCAGTGGTGGTTGTAGTGGTTGTCGGCTCTGTAGTACTCGTTGTGATCGTCGTTGTCGTTGTGGTGGTGCTTGTAGTCGTCGTCAGCGCAGTGGTGGTTGTCGTGGTTGTCGGCTTTGTGGTAGTGGTTGTGACCGTCGTCGACGTTGTTGTGGTTCTGGTTGTCGCCGCTTTCGTTGTACTCGGGGTATTAGTCGTTGGTATTGTGGTTGGAGATGTCGGCGTTGACATAATGATTGTAGTGCTGCCTGTCATGATAGTCGACGTTGCAGTTGTCGGGCTTGCGATCGTTCTCTGATTACTGCTCGCGATTGACGAAACCCTTGTCGTTTGCTTCTGTTCTGTAACGGACACCACTGCATTTGTAACTCACTGCTCCATAAAATGATTTGTAATGATTAAAGGCATTTTTCATATGAACATTATAGAAATTAATTCGCAGTCAATCTTCACAGATCGAAACGTTGAGGTAAAGTTGGTCGTCTTTGATTGGTTTGATACGATTACTCGAGCACCTTAGTAATGAATACTAGCAGTTTGCCTGCCATTGGTTACTGCACTAGTGCACACAATCAGGCCCCTAGTTGGAGAAGAGATCCAGGGAAGACTCTAGTGGCTCTTTGTTGAATCCCTATTTTCATAATTTACCTGTCAAGTCTAACTCAATAAAGAAGTCAGTGATAGTTGCTTCCGACCAGCTCCCACTGGCTTTTGTTATCTACCGTATATAACACTTCAATTTGTGCATTTGTATGTGTGTGTCCGACCGGAAATTCAGTGTTCCCATAAACCTGGAGCGTTCAGATTTTTTAGGAGCACAGGAGGCAGGATGGGATCACTTATAGTGGATGGCAAGTACAGACTTCACCAAAAGGAGATGGGATATGCACGAAGTAGGTGGTCGATCAGAAATTCATAACTCTTGTTTCCGTGGACCTAGAGCGACTATAAATGTGTAGGTGGAAACTCATAACTCCTATTCCCGTGGGCTTGTAGACTCTCCCCATAGAGGGGGAGGGGAGCGTGAGCGAAAATTGTTAATTTAGGCGTAGGGCACTCAAACTTTCTAAGAGTACAAGAGGACAGTTTTTATCATGCTCTTTAACGTGCAGATTTGAAGCTGTCGCCATGTGGGAGTTTATCTTAAACAGCATACCACTTCGCGTCCAATCTGTGATCAGATAGATGCGCGAAGAACTGGAAGATTAGGACGGCTCATCTGCGTGTTTAAAGGCTTACGAGTAGGTCTCAGCTTCCTCTGATCCAGAGTGACCATAGACAGAGCAGTGAAGACTCAACACCGGCCCTGGCAAGGCAGTGCTGAGATCGCAGGAAGCAAGCTTGTTAAAACAGCAATAAGACAGCCTCAGTACCCCGCACACTGAACCTAGCCGTCTCATAGATGGTACGACAACCGGTGAGAGGCGAAGAGGGATTCTTGGATGGCACATGTCGCATTGAATTTCCGACTCCAACACCGCTCCTTCCACACGACACGGAAACTGTCTCCCACTCTATATCTACAACGCGGGAACAGTTTATACCAAAGGTGCTCTCCGTAAGTTCTTCGAAGCGACTAGTCAAATTAAGTACCGTGCGATTGCGCTACAGAAAACCAAAAGCGAGAGGAACGACGTACGGCGATATGAACGATGGAACCCTCATAACTCGCGGTGCAAAAATTCCATCGCGAAACTTCACAGGTGTTATGTTTATTATGAACACGTCTGTCATCCATCTCATCGATTTTCACGAAGTCCTGCCTTCTTGATTTGCCATCTTAAGCCCACGACATGCACAACTGAAAGNAAGCGACTAGTCAAATTAAGTACCGTGCGATTGCGCTACAGAAAACCAAAAGCGAGAGGAACGACGTACGGCGATATGAACGATGGAACCCTCATCACTCGCGGTGCAAAAATTCCATCGCGAATTTTCACAGGTGCTATGTTTATTATGAACACGTCTGTCGTCATCTCGTCGATTTTCACGAAGTCCTGCCTCCTTGATTTGCCATCTTGAGCCCACGACATGCGCAACTGAAAGCCATTTCCATCGTCAGCTGCTATTCTCCACATTCCGCAGCTGGCGAACTAGAGCTCAAGGCGTTTTTCAAAGGAGGAAAACAGGATTGAAAGGTTTTGAATGGGGGACAGGAACAAAACGGAAAGCGTCTTCTCTGTCCGTGGCTCGCCTTTTCCATTGCAACGTTTTTTCTAGAATAGGGAACATTGCTGCTGGTCATGGGAGCCTCCAAATGGTACAAGCCATGCTGAGTTGGACCACACTAACGAATAAAAAGTTGTGCTTACTGAATTTTAGCTTGGTATCATCTTCCTGCAGTGGTTGCGATCATCGACCTCTTCCGTGAAACCAGATTCAGTCCTAAGCTGGAGAAGATCTCTCAGCATCGTGGAAAGAGCTTGAAGTAGGTCGTGTACGACGGAAACGCTCTAACTGGCTTTCTCCCGAGATGACTGGCAGGACATGGATGTCCCGACCGGATATTACGATGCGCTGGTTCGGAGTCTAACCACATAAGCTAAACGGGCTTCTTCAAACGAAAACTTCACTCACACCTCAAATGCGACGCGGTATTTTTTTTTTCAGAGCAAGAAGAATCTTGAGAATTCACCAGAATGCTAGGCAGCGTGAAAGGCTGCTTGCAAATATCAGCTGCAGACAAGTTAAGTAACGAGATCTTCGACTATACAAGGTAAGTCTGCTGGAAGCAGCCCTGGACCGAACTAGGCTGGAGAAATGCCATCAGGATCTTCAAGACTACAATTTCACTACCATGTTTTGCAAAGAAGACAAACAGACGGAACTCTAATGACATCAAGATTCAAGATGGCAAAAGTGATACGGAGGTTTTATTCCAAACCGTAGCGATAAGCGACACACGTGAGTTATCCAGAAATCTCCTTCGGCGGAACAACATCACAGACCGTATCTCCGGAGGTGAGGGTTGCAATTGCTAGCATGAAAAGGGAGCACTAATCCAGGCCCCGGTATCATATCGGATTCCGAGAGCAGTTGCTAAGATACTGGTAGTGACAGAGAAAATTGCCATCAAGCCTCTACCCATAATCCTTCTCAAGTGAACTTGAACGACGCTCTGGTGAATTATATTACAAAAAGAGCCTTCGTTGTTGATGTGAATTTCCTTGAGGCATGACATTGTCACCCGGTAAGTTTCTCTACTGCGCTCGGCGCTTCTAGAATGTGCCCGACCACAAATCCGAATGCAATTGCTTATCAGCAGCGATTCCCATAAACTCGAGACTGGACGATACCAGCCTTGCATCCAACTTTAGGCAGTTCCATAGTACCAACGTTTCTCACCTTTACTTACAGTCTTGCTACAGACCTAGCGGCACTCGTCTACCATGGCTCTTATCAGTCCTTAAAAGTTGTTACCAATTTCTATCACCAAACAACTACGGTCCCTTCTTAACTAATAACCCCTACCAAAGTGTCAAGGCTTCACCTTTAACATGAAGGAGGTATCGGATTTCACGGATCTTGCCTTCTAAGGCTCCTTATCAGCTGTTCCGAGCTTCTATCTCTTCCTACATCATCATCAGTGTTTCCACCCTGCCTCCTGTACTCCTACCAGATTTGCCTGCCTCCTGTACTCCTACCAGATTTGAACGTTTTAGGTCAAAAGGAATATAAGTTACGATTTCCCGGTCGGACACACACTTTCACGCACGCACACACACAAATATATATATAATATAAGTACGTATATAGGAATGGAGATATTTATTGGAAAACTCCTTATAAATAGAATAGCAGCTACCATCAGAGTTTACAGAATCGTTACCATAAACCAATTTTTGACATGTACAGAACGTAATCTTGCAGCAGGAGGCAAAAATG